CCTACATCCGCGCAAGGACACCCGTGGGAATACAGCAGCGAGGACCCGGGCGTAGGAAGAGCAAGCGCCCTGGGATTTGTGGGGAGAGGATGTGCTCCTGTGAGTGTGTGCTGTGGATGCCGCAGACCCAAGTGCATTCCGTGTGTGCGTGTGCGTGTGACCAGCAGGACCCCAGCTGCCACCAGATGAGCTCCGTGCCCAGGACAAGTCACCGAGGCTCACTCATGCCCCATGTCTTCATCTGGGCAATGGAGGGAGCTGTGAGGACCACAGGGATGGTGGGTGTGAAGTTCTGGGACCTGGGCGGGGTTTGGTTCAGCGTCGGGGAGAGCTGGGCATAGCCGTTGGCACTCCTGGGTTCCATCTGCCTGCCCTGGGCTCAGAGTTCACCCTGGCATGGGAGGATCCCCGTGTAGTGTAGTCAGAAGAGCCTTTAGTTTAGTTTCTCCAGTGGGGCATCCTCACCCCGGAGAAGCATAGGAACTTGCCTCCAGACACCCGGCATCCCGGCGGCAGAGATGGGGCTAGATTGAGCCAGTCTCTCTGGTCCAGGCGCGGTGTGGACTGTAGCCTCAGCCCTCCCTGCTCTGCCCTCCCAGGCGCCCCCCCTCCCCAAGGCACCCAACAGTCAGCCACCCGCTGGGGGTCGGAAACTGCTTCAGCAGCGAGGTGTGTGCTTTGGCAGCCGCGCTGTCTGAGCCACTGAGGTTGGGGCTGGGCGGCTGCTGGCGCGGGAATTCCGTGTCTGGGGAGGACCCGCTGGGAGCCCTGTCCCAGCCCCCAGCCCTGCACTGCCAGCTGGGCCAGGGCTCAGCACATCACTGAAAGGGGTCCGCCTGGGACTCTCAGAGGCTGCTGGAAGAGGAGGCTGAGGGTTGCCAGGCCGTCCACTTTCGCTCGTTCACAAAACACCTCTGCTGTGACACAGCAATGCTTGTAATTTGTGGAGAATGCAAGTCTTCAAAGAGGAGAAATTAAACTCTTAACCCAGTTCAGCAACTCAGAGACCAGTGGGGCTTACCCACACATCACACATGTCGGGCATCTGCACACTCACGCGCACCTGGACACACACATACGTGAAGCACAAACACACACATGTAAGTGGGCTGTGCACTCATAATACACAAGCACACGCCCACTTGTGCAAGTACACGTGTACACACACGCAGGGCACACGCTATGTGCCAGGCTATGTGTCCTAGCACTCCACAAATAGCATCTCGTTTAACTCTCACAACAGTGCTATGAAGTGGGCATCGTTATTTCTCCCACTCTACAGATGAGGCGTCTGCCCAAGGACAGCCAGTTAGAGAGAGAAGTATTGGGGACTCGAACCCAGATCCACGGGCTTAATTGAGTGTGCACCCCAGGGCTATGTTTGAGTGGCATCATAAAGAATATCCTCCCAGGCTCTTTGTCTTATTTGTCTATGTTTGGATTCATTACCAAAATGGCATCCTTTGTACATATTAACAGGGCCCTAGAGTCAGACGGGGATTCGAATTCTGGCTTTACAGCAGACAGGTTGGCTTGACCTAGGGCTTGCTTCTTACCTGTTCTTTGGGGCTGAACCTCCCCTTCAGAGGCGCAGCTGAGCTTGTGCATGGGACACTCTCAGTCCTGGACCTCGCATAGACGGTGCTCCGCAGATGGGCCATTTTCACCGCTCTGAGGCTGGAGGGTTTTGTAGAGAAAAGTTAGAAAAATCTCCAGATGCAAGGGGTCTTACTATGTTGGGTTCTGAAAACTTCTAGACCTGGCGTCTCCTGGGAGGATGGAATCCTCCTCCCGTAATCCCTGCCCCATTGACACTTCCCTTCCCTGACTAGCAGCTCAGCCCCAGCCCTGCAGGCTCCAGGTGGATACAGACAGCAGAGGCGAGAGGGCGGGAGAGAGGAGCCCGTGAGTCCGCAGGCAGCAGGCGGAGCCTCCCGTCCAAGTCTGGCCTGGCTGGAAGGGGAGGGGGCTGTGGGGCTGGGACGTCAGTGCCATCACCTCCCAGGGGACCATTAAAGTCGCTGCACTGCCAGGAGGGCCAGGGCATCTGCAGAGGTCCTCCACCTTCTTGTTGCCTCCGCCACCCGCCTGGGCTGCCTGTCCTGGGTACGCACCCCGAGAGCCTGCTGCCTGGCCTCACCCCTCTCTGCCTCACTTTTCTTCCACTTTGACTCAGTTTCACTCTCCTCTGTGCTGTTTCAACTCCCTTTCTGTCTTTCTCTCTCTTCCTCTCTCTCTCCCCATCTCTCTTTCTTTTTCATTCCTTTTCTCCGTATCTTCTTTTACTGTGGGCTTTTGGGTCTTTCATTTCTTTTTCTGTTTCTCGTTTTTCCTTCCCCCCCCC